TATATACGTGCTTTTTGCTAATATAATATACACATACATATCAGGGGAACTTCGACATTTTCTAGTAGCCATTATAAGAAGAACAGAACTTACCCAGTTGGCACAAATAGGTTTATAATGCCTATTAGATACGTGTTTAACTTTAAATGATTTTGAAACAAATTACTTTGCTCTTGAGCGCAAACTTAAAATACGTATACCATCCAAAACGTTTTTATACATTTTATGAAAGGTTTTACGACGTGGAAACGAAAAACCTTGTATTTAAAGTTTTCTATTAATGATTTATTTTTCCGACTACAATATACGCATTATTATCTGTCTTGTAACCCAGAACCTTTTTTTACTCATCTAAGCCTAGGCTGCAAGAGAAGGACACTACCAACCTCCTATGAAATATTTTTTCAGCTTCTGGTGCTCATTTGCTGATTGGTACTAGAATCGTTATAACTATAAAACAGCCAATGAATAAACAAAAAATATTTTTACACTTTTGGAATTAGCAAAGAAAACTCATGAGTAAACAATGTTTGCATATAGACCTTTAACATTACCAACAGTACAAAAATTTAATATAGTATCAATATATTTTATGGTACTGTCGGCATTATTTATGTTAAGACTTCAGCTCAGCGAACGTTTTATCATAAAATATGCAAAAACATGTAGATATTTTTTGTTTTTCAATGGGTTTTAGTTCCACGTATACATAGTTAAGCTTTGAAAGTTTAACTGAAAAGTCTTTTCCAGTTTCACGTAAATATTTTAAATCAAACCACAGAGCTGATTTATCTTCAAGATGGTCTTCAAACTTTAAAATTTGTATTTTCTCAATTTCGCACCGATTTAAATCGACATGATTTTATTTTTCAATTATTTTTGTCCTTTTACAATTCAAGTTCGTAGTATAATAAAATTTATATACATTCAAAAATAAACAAATTATAAATATATGTGAGCAAAAAGAAATTTAATCTCATAAAGTTAAATATTACAAATTTCCATAAAAAAATAGTGTTATAGTTAAAAAAACGCGTGAAATTCGCAGAAGACCAGAAGGTCTTATCGTCGAGAACCGTTGTGTAGCCTTCATGTTTTTACTTTAAGGCTACACAGTTTGTATAATAAATTTTTGACAATAGTGTTAAAAACTAAACCTAAAAAATAAGCGTAATATAAAATAAAAAGTATTACGAACAAAAAAAGAAAGTTGTAATTACAAAAGTAATTTAAAAGAAACCATAAGATTTGTATACTCTAAAATATTATTTTAAATTAAATTTTGAAAGCAATTTATATTTTCCTCACTTTTACTACATTATCTTATGCTAAAATTTTATTCCAAAGAGGAGGAGCACGATATGTAATTTTAAACTGTTCCTGCTTAGTTTTGCATAAAGGTTTAATTAAGGTGCCAGTTGTACAAAAGGGTACGTTTTATTTGATAGAGATCATGAAAAATTGAAGGACATTGTTGATATTTACTTTTGTACATGAGACATAAAATTTTAAATATGTTAAGCTCATATATTGTATAAACATTCATACTTTCAATAAGTGGTTTAGTATGTTCGTTTTTATTTTTAAAATTCATTATGCTTAAAGCATGTTTCTGTTTTTTATAGAGTGTTTCTAGTTTTCCTTTAGAAGTACTACTCCATGCGATATTTGCGTAATTTAAGTAACTTTGGATAAAACAAAAAAATACTTATCTTAGATGATGTTTATTTAGTAAATCCCTTAGTAATATGTTTATTCTAGGTAATATTTTCGTCGAACACCTAGAAATTGTGTTACTCTCCCGACGGGCATTTGTTTTTAAAAGTTACGTTCTAAATGTGTTTTAAACGTCTTTTAAACGTCTTTTAAACATTAATGTTTAGAAGACGTTTAAAAGAAGTTTAAAAGTTACGTTCTAAATGTGTTTTAAACGTCTTTTAAACGTCTTTTAAACATTAATGTTTAGAAGACGTTTAAAAGACGTTTAAAACACATTTAGAACGTAACTTTTAAAAACAAATGCCCGTCGGGTCTTGTGTTACTCTTTCGTAGAACACCTAGAAATTGTGTTACTCTTTCGCGACTAACTTCTGTGTTTTTAATAATTAGTTTTGGAAAAGAAATAGGAATTCTTTTGGTTTTATTTAAAAGATGGAATAACGAAAACTTTGTTTATTTAGCATTAATATAAAGTTTGTTTGTTTTTAAGCATATTGAAATATTTCATATTGAAATCATTCATTTAAATGAAGAGTTAAGGTCTTTGTTTGAGATGAAAAAATGTCGTGTGGAAACTTAATTGTTGACTTGATGCTCTTCAAAGATCATTTTTATATAATAAGGAAATAAGAGAGACCCGAGAATAGACACTTAAGGCACTCCGCAAGAAGTTAAAGATAAACTTGTTTGTTCACTTTTCCATAATATGTGGATTGCGTACGTTAACTTAGATAGTCTGCTATATACCTATTTAAAATGCCATACATCTTAAATTTTTTTACAAGTATTTCGTGATCAACAGTATCAAATGCCTTAGAAAAGGTCGTAAATACACCTAACGTAAATTCTCCGTTTGCAAAAGGATTTTTAATTTCATTAATTAAGTATAGTTTTGCATGTTCCGTTGAAATTTTTTTATGAAATTTAAAAGGCTTTGAATAAAATGAATTACTATCTTTATAAAAGATATATAATTTATTCAACATTATTTGTACAAAAATCTCAGAAAGAATGAAAAGTATTGATATTAGTATTTAATTACCAATATCAGAGCCGTAACCATCGGGAAGGGGGGGGCAGGGGCTAGACCCCCCAAAAAAATAATAAACTACAATTATTAGGGAAAAACTTATATATTTTACAAATATTTTATTCCCTTCCTCCTTTAAAAGAACTACAGACTGTGTTCTTGAGACTGGGGGCTTTTCCCATGCTATGTTTGGGCCTCTCCCTATCTCTGGGCCCCTAAAATGGATACCTAAAAAAAAAAGGACCGTAATATGTAATATGGGCCCCCCTAATATGAAAATTGTGGCTACGGCTCTAAATATAGGTTTTATCACCTAATTTAAGTATAGGTTTAACTTTTGCTGCTTTAAGTATTACAAACACTCTTTTTTCAATAAACAGTTCAATGAAACAAATTATTAGCCTTGAATTCAAATACTGGCAACCAGAAATGTAAATCAACCTGAAACTTTAAACGGTTGTTGCTAATGAATCAGGTTTGTTTACAATTTTTCCAAATAAATATCCCGAGCAAAAATGAAAGAAAAGACTTCACGTACATTTCATCTTTAAAAGTTTTTTTACTATTGCAATATCGTCATCAGGGATATTATCGGTTGATATTATAAAAATCCATCAAGCACGTTGGTAGTACAGAAAAAAGTAAGTTGCAACGTCTTTATCGCCGTCAGAAGTAAAGAATATAAAAACAAATGATTTTATATTCTTTACTTCACGTATACGTTTATATAAAATATTAGTGAGTAGATCCGCGTGATCTCTCTTTGGATTATAAAATATATATTTGGATTATATATATATGAAATTTGTAAAAATTTGATACTGTTAATGCTTGTTTGAACTTATTTAAGGTTCTGACGACAAGATCCTTTGATCTTCTTTCAGATACCTTATTTTATATTTGTGAAAGTTAATTATTATCATCATTATTTTTATTTTTATTTTTTTTGGCAATATATAGTTGTAATACGACCAACAAATGTAAAATTAAAAAAAAAAAAAAAAAAAAAAAAAAAAAAAAAAAAAGTTCTACAACGTATAAATAATCAAAACACTATTTCTTTCTTCTTTTTTTATTGTACTTATTGTTGCAACTTGTAACGTTTTTTTATCAACTTTTATTTAAATCGTTTTTTTTATAGTCATTAAACACAAAAAGTTCAATCAGAAAATATGTTCATATTAGCTTTAATATAAAACTTCTTATTTATTCACATTTTCAAAATGACGCCCAAAATAACATTTATACTAACACAATAAAAATTACAAAAATTCAGTTTTTATAAAAATTGCCTAACTCTTATAAGTTTTAATCATTTTAGCTTAATTACATAGCTTCTTTTTATAAATTGTTTTAAACTGGCTCCCATTTTATTGCAAATGTCCATTTACTAGGTGAGTTAGTTATAGAGATTTCTTTTTAAAGGGTTTTTAGAGAATTTTAGAGATATTTTTTGAGAGTTTTGTATTTTAGTATAATTGTTGAGTGTTTTTTTGAGAATGAGTTTGTTAGGAGCGCTTACGTCAGCTCACATTTATGTACGTGTTATTTTAAATGTAACTTCCGTTAGCGCAAATTATGATATTTAAAGTAACGCGATATTTATTATTACTAGCTTATGCAAGTTATGATATTTAAAATATAATTTAACTATCTAGTTGAAAAACATTTTGATTTTTTTTTTAACGACATTTAATAGCATTTTATTTATGTAGTAACACATTTGAATCAATAATTGTTACCTTCTAAGCTGTATCAGTAACATTTCCTGAGACTCTGAAGAAAATTACTAGCCCACTCACTCTCTAGAATGAAAAAAATTTGAATTCTATGACCACTAAACAATCTTAAATCACTCTCTAGTTGACTACGAAACAATATCGTATGCTATTCTTATTATACTAAAACTATTTAGAAAAAAAACAATTTATTTTATTTAGATCCATGCTAGAGCCTTATATATTAGCCTTATATATATTTGGGATATTTAACTTGAATTAGAATAAATAGAGTGGACCATAGGGAAAGCAATTACCATTTTTAATTTTTTGTTTTCTTTTAGTTTTAAATTAAGATGTTAAGCTATACATAAACGAAGGATAAATAAATATAATACTTTTTTTGTTTACTATTAAACGGTTTTTAATGAGCTTCAAATGTCTATTTAATTTAAAACGATAGAAACAAAGCCATAATTAGCAATAAGTGTTTTAAAAGCTTAACTTAACAACATAATGTTTTTAAAATTTAATAAAAATTATGTTTGAATGTTATAACAAAGTTTAAAGATTGAATAATGTTTGAAAGGTTTAAAAAGAAACATTTAGTTAAAAAACACATTGAATCAGAAGTTTTCGATTCTGCAGAACGCGAAGATATTTCGACAAATAGCAATAACATTGAAGATTTTAATGATTTATCATTTATTCTTGATTATATTGGATCGGATTATGTATCCGAAGCTAAATCAGAAGCAATAATTTTAGACACTTTGAAAAAAATAAAAAAACAACACAGAAAAACTATTAGAGTTGATTTTAATATTAAAAATGGTATACTTAAAATTAGCGAGTGCGAGCACGGTGCTTTACTTATTACAGCCCCATCTTATGCAGTTGCGTTATGTGCTAGAGACGAGGTTCCTGGTTTTGAAACAAATTTCGGTATTAATATTACAAGAAGAAGAATTCACATGTGTCATGTGTTTCAAACTGGATCAAAATTAGAAGTAATTATTTTTATATATTTTTAAGTTTACTTTGTTTTATACTAAGGGGTTTACTTAAATGTAGATCTTGAAGACGTTTTTTTTAATGAGACCCTTTTTTTAGGTGTATCTGCTATATTTTAGAAATATTTTTTCGTTAAATAGAAATACTTTAACTAAAAAAAAAAGCAATTAAAATCAATTTCTGTAGAAAAGACACCTTACAAAATTTTATTGCCAACCGCACCTTAGAGGAAATATTTAAGATTCCATATATTTTTTTTTTTTTTTTGTAGATTTAGTATATTATCGATAATTAAAATACATAGTTCCATAAAGCAAGTGGATAATTTTTAATGGATGCCACTCAAAGATCTATTATAAAAAAAAGACGTTAAAAGTCCATATCATTATATGGATTTTTAACGTCCTTTTTTATAATAGACCTTTGAGAGACAATTTGTGGTCTTTCTTTTTATTTAAATAGTATTAAATAATTAATAAATTCTTACTTATTTTATATTTTTTTAATTGCATATATACTAATTATAGGTAATTGTAAATTTGATATGATCGCACCTTTAGGATGACTGATTTGTGTAAGCTATTTGAAATAACGTATTAATCTGTTTCTTTAGAATACTGTTATAATAAAACGAGTAATTTAGTTTTTAGTCCAATCTTTCCATAATTATTTACCTTAATATCTTCTTAAAGAGTTTGTTAACAAAAATCCAAAGCAAATTTAAACAATTATCCATGAAAATGTTCATATATGTTATATAATTTGGTCAAAAGCGTGTTATTTCCAAAATTGTAATTAAATTATTTATCTAATTTTTAAAAAAACAAGATAAATCAATAGTAGTTAAGTAAAAACAATTAAGAATCCAATTAGAATCCCGAAAACATAAATCTTCATGAATTTTATTTCTAAGTCTTTCTTTATGGCATTTCCCAGTTGAAAATGAGCGAGCGAATATCTAGCTTTACAGAAATTTTATAGCGATTTGTTTTGCTCACATTATTGCTTCATTTTATCTTTTATATATTGATCATACTTTTTGAACATAAGTGCTCAATTTAGAAAAAACTATAACCTTTATTTTATGTTTTTCTACGCTGGAATATTATTTTTGTTTTTCCAGAACTATTAATCAAATTGGTCTTGTCTAGGGTTCACATATTCTCTTCAGATTGTCTGATACAATCCCTCTTAAATTTTTAATGGTTTATGTGCTAAAGTACATTACTGTTCTCAGAAAGTATTTTATAAAAATTTCCATCAGGGCTAAGGTTAACACTCTAAGGTTATAAGTTTACATTTTAATACATAATATTTTATTCAGTTATCGACCAGAGTAATCACACAGACCAAAAATGTTACTAATGTTATCGTGGTAATGTTGCTAATGTAATTGTGGTATTGTTGCTAATGTAATCGTGTTATGAACACTCCTACTTTTATGCCAGAAATTTTTGTTCATAAAATTAAAAAGAAAAATGTTTGCATATATTATATTTGTATTGTAAATTTGAGTTAGAAAACCATTTTTTAATATGTATTTTTTGATATATAAAAATATTTTCATATACACTCCCAGTTAAAGTATTCCAATTCGTTCAACCGACTGGTTAAATGAGACTCCGAACAATTTTGTTTAAAAGTCATTATTACATTATATAAAACTTATAATTATTTTGTTAAAATATCCACATTGTTAATTTTTTTTTTTAATTAAATTTTTTGTCTTGTCCTTAAAATTTCTTTAAAAGTCGTCATTACATTATATAAAATCTAAAATATTTTTTCATAAATTCATAAATTAAAAAAAAAATTATTAATATAACAGTAGAATCCCGTTAACTCGGACTCTGAACGAGTATATAAATTGTAAAACATCAAAACAGCATCGTACTAACTAATTTTTCTTTTTTGTAAGTTATAAGTATAAAAGTTATCGTACAAAAAAGAAAAATTAGTAAGATTTTGTTTTGATGTTTTACAACTTATTTTAACTTTACGTACAGCAAGAAATATCGCCAAAACACTGAACGGGTATATATTTTGTCCGACTTAGCAAATGTCCCAGTCATGCGAATGTATAGAGAATTCAAGGGGAATTGAAAATTTGTCCGACTTATTATTATTATTATTATATATATATATTTCGTCAATAAACAATCATTTTACAATGTTTTTTGTAAAAATTAAAAAATTAAATATTTATATTCTGACAGGAGCAAGCAGAAGACAATGTGTCTTATCACCCTGCTCCTAAGTTCGCGAAAATATCAATAAAGTTTTACGTATTAGTTTCTTAAAATATACGTTGTATAAGTTTTATAAATATTGCAAGTTTTGTACATAATACAACACATCACAGTTCACAAAATATACATAGGTCACAAGCATATATACGTGTTAACAAATCAATATATAAATGTTTTTTTAAAAATACAAAAGAATGTTTTTATTATTTAAATCTAATAAGTATAGTTTAACGGCTCTTTTAAATAGTTTAATTGAAGTCATGTTTTTTTTTATGTCTCTGTTCAGGAAATAGTTCCACAAACGTGGTCCTCGACATGTTATTGAGAAGTCTGTTTTTCTAAGGGATGTTGTAGGTATGAGAAAATTGCTAATGGAAAATCTTGTAGAGTATTTGTGATTAATTAAGGTAAAATGAGGCTGAAAATATGTTGGAAGCATGTTGTTATAAATTTTAAACATAAATAACAGATTTTGATAGATGTTTAGTTTATAAATATTTAAAACATTAATTTTTTTAAGTAAAGGCTCGGCGCATGCATATCTACCTGCATTCAAAATTAACCGGCTCGCTTGTTTTTGTTTGGTATTAATTTTTTTTAAAGAGGATGAATAATTACTTGCCCACGCTATATTGCAATAACTAATGTGACTATGAATAAATGAAAAATACAAGCTTTTTAAGCACATAATATTCAAAAGGTGCTTCGTTTTGAAAAGGATCCCAAGAGCTTTTGAAACGTTGTTTTCCACAAATTGGATATGATTTTTCCAGTTTAAATGATCGTCAAATATTATACCTAGGATTTTCATTGAATGAACTCTTTTTACTTTAATGTTGTTTATAAATAAATCAGGAAGTTTCAGGGGTATGTTATCAGTTTTCAAAGGTTTTGTGAACAGAATGTATTTAGTTTTATCAATGTTTACGGACAGTTTATTGGCTTTAAACCATTCATTGAGATTAATTAGCTCTGTGTTTACAGTAGAAAAAACAAATTTTAAATTAGACCCCGAAAAGAAAATATTAGTATCATCAGCAAAAAGAACAAAATTAAGGAATTTAGAGGATAAGTGGATGTCATTAATATATAAGAGAAACAACAGAGGACCAAGTATTGAGCCCTGAGGGACACCACAACTAATAACTTCTAACTGCGTATAAGTTAAATCATACGTCACACATTGTTTACGATTTTGTAAATAAGACTCGAGCCATTTTATATTAGTATTTTGAATTCCATAATTTTTTAATTTATAGAGAAGGATTTCGTGGTCGACAGTGTCGAACGCCTTCGACAAATCAACAAAAACTCCAAGTGTATAATTATTACCATCAAATCCTTTCAAAATATTGCTAGCCAAATCCATCACAGCATGCTCAGTGCAATGATTTCTCCGAAATCCAAACTGTTTAGGATATAAAATATTGTTTTTATCGATGAAGTTATATATTCTATTATACATTATACGTTCAAGTACCTTTGAAAAACAGGAAAGAATTGAGATGGGTCTGTAGTTTGATTCTAAAGAATCGTCACCGTTTTTATAAATTGGAATTATTTTAGCAAGTTTTAATTGATCAGGAAAGTCCCCGTTTTTTAATGAAAGTTTAAAAATAATGAAAAGAGGCAATTCGATAATATCAAAGACACTTTTCAAAACATTTGTATTAATTTCATCAAGACCTGCACTTTTATTTTTCTGAAGCATGTCAAAAGCTGAACGAAATTCTTCAATGGAAAGTTCCGAATTGTCCATAATAAAATCTGATTTTTTCAAAAAAGACTGGAATGTTTTGCTACTTGGAGAGATTTCTTTGGCTAAGTTTTTCCCAACATTTATAAAAAAATTATTCAGTCTCTCAGCAATTGTTTTTTTATTAGAAATTTCACCTTTATCAGTTTTCAGTCGATTAGGGAAGTTGCTAGATGTAATTCTTGTTTTCCCTGTTATTTCTTTTATTATAGTCCAAGTTTTTTTAGCGTTTCCAAATGATTTCTGAAGTAGTCCAGAAAAGAAGTTTTTTTTTGATTGCTTTTTTATTTTTTCAAAATAGTTTTTGTATTTTTTATATTTAGTTTCGTTTTCATAGTTTTTGTTTTTTAAATATTTTTCGTAAAGCTTTTTTTTTTTTTTTGATGATCTTAAAAGACCTTTAGTCATCCACGGGCTATGCACACTTTTGGATTTTATAGTTTTCTGAACTTTAGGAAAAGCCTTTTCATATTGCCTTGTAAAGACGCGGATAAAGAAATCGTATGCGCTACATGTGTCATTGCAATCATTCAATAACTCCCAATTGATTTCACGCAAAAGCTGTCTAAAATTCGCAATCGAGCCTTTGTTTACATGCCTTATGTATACTGTTATGGGTTTTTTATTTATAAAGCATTTAGTATTTGTAGTTAAAAAAACAGGGAAATGGACACTGATATCCGTTTTTATTATACCACTGTTGATTGTCGAGTTACTATAATTATTAGTGATAATATTGTCAATGATAGATGATGTTTTTCGAGTTACACACATTAAAAGTTCGAGTTACACACATTCACAATGTGTTCGAGTTACACACATTACACACATTGTGAATGTGTGTTCGAGTTGTGTTCGAGTTACACACATTAAAAGTTCGACTTATCCAGGATCCGAGTTAATGGGATTGGACTGTATTATAAAAATCAGAAATATATTGGATTTTTAAATTAATATACAGTACTGTACACTACTAAAAATCACTTTTTTAATAAAAAACTGATTAACACCAAAAACTAATGTCATATCACTAATAAGAAGTATTAAAAATTAAATATTTTAAACATAATTTGTTTCCAACAGTTTTTGGAGTATCTTATTTCCAACAGTTTTTGGAGTATATAGTTAAATATTTTGGAACACTTTATACTAATCAATATCAAATATTTAAATATCACATATCAGAACCTATCAAATATTTCTGTTTTTATTATTATTACTATTATTATTATTCAGGTATTTACTTTATATTAGTACTTGTACTATTGTAAATTCCATTGAAATGTTATAGCTTATTTCGAAACATATTTGATTTAATTTAAAGTCAAAAATTATTTGAAAATTATTTTTAAATAATTTTAAAAGAAAATTTAAAAAGCTGTTAAAAAAGTAACTTTTACTTTAAGAGCATTTTTAATGAGCTACTTTTTACTTTTACTTGAGCAAACTTTTCGACCGGTAACGTTTATTTGTACTCGAGTAAAATTCAAGTAACAGTACTTTTACTTGAGTGTAAAATTTTGTTATACTTTTCCACCTTTGAACGATATTGTCTACGGTTGATGTGATGGTAGATCTGTGGTCTTATTTCAAAACATTTAATTAGTAGTCCCCCCCCCCGTGCCCCTCAAAAAAAAAAAAAATTTAAAAGTGAATAAAAAGTTTCTTTGGTAATTCAGTGTAAAATATTGAATTGCAAGCGAATTATTCAGTTCCTAGATACGTTCCATGTCAGAGTGTGTGTGCTATTTTCTTTAGTAGGAACGGTTACCTGCACTGTAACACTTTACCGTGAAAATCACGGTACTTTACCATTACCCATAAGTGCCGGTATTGTACCGTGATTATTTTACGGTAGAACATCGTGAATAAATCACGGTAAAACGCCGTTATTTTACGGTAGAATTCCGTGATTTTTCTGTGATGAAACAGCGTGAATTACGGAATAGTACCGTGATTAATTTACAGAAATGCCTTGTTATTTATTGTACAACATATATTGTACAATATAAATTAGAAAAAATATATTTTTACTATTTTCTAAATATTTTTCGCCCATTTCATTTTGTCTTTTTTTTCATTTATTTCAACTGTATTACAATTACGTTTTTTTCAATTATAAATATCTATCAACATATATGCTTGTTTATATGCTTATGGCGACAAAAACACGTCATATTTTTAAAAATTCTTTTCAGTTTACATTATTTACATTATTACATAAATAAAAATAGTTACTCAGATAAATTAAAGGAATATAAATAGGTTACAAAAAAACGCAAACTTAAATTATGTGACATAATAATATGATGTTATATAAACATTTATATTCGAGTTTAAGAACGAATCAAATTCAAAAAAAAAAAAAAAAAAAAAAAAAGATATTATTGTAAAACTTTTGAAAATTTACAAATATAATTAAATATAAATAACTACAAAAAAAAAATTGTTTTTTCAAAGTTATATTTAGAAGTTTAATTTATATTTAGAATTATATTTAGAAGTTTACGACTACATGGTAAATTCAAATATTATTAAATCTTGCAAACTTCTGCAGTATTGAGCAAAATTTTCAGCAAAATTTTGCTTATTGATAAAGTCTTCTTCGTTTGCCTTGATTTGCTCCCTTTTTCAGGATTGATGCCGAAAAAAGCACTAGAACGGTCAATAATATATTTATAAGCAATTAACATATATGTTTTAAGTTTTTGATTTTCAAAAACTTAAAACATATACGAACTTGTAATTCAAAATACCTTAAATTTTTCATTATCTAATGCTTTTATCAAGAGTTCACCAGCATTCATTTCACACATCAAAACATCAAAGTGATGTTGCAAACCATCAACCTAAATACAAAAAATCAATTTAAATACATAGATATTCTATAACTAAATAAAATAAACTTCTACAAAAATCAAATTGAATACTATAAAAATGAAATATCTATTTATTTACCATTATATAAATCAATATATACTGATTAATAACATAAGTTAATTTATTTTTAAATAAAATAACTTATATTATTTTAAATAAAAAGAACTTACTTTACTGTAAAGAAATTGGAAAATTTTATCAACAAATCATTTGACAAGATCTTTCCATTTATTTTAGTTCATTGTAAATAGTAATCGAGTTCTTCAGGGCTGTTTGAAACACTGAGAACTGGTTCTCGGTTTAAGTAACCATAACTATCAGTTTTTTTGACATCAACTAATAATTGGGACCCCTCTTGGGATTCCAAATTTAAAACACCCAATAACAGTGGCACACGGTTTGGCTGCCACAGATAGTCATAATGGTTAACTAATTGTAACGTTAAACTGTCATGACCCCTACCAATTACTGTGGAACCATATTCATCTATAAACAATTTAGAATACTTGGCAACCATAGAAGATGCAATTACATCTAAATGTTTTTAAATGGCATAAACAAACAGTAAGAACATAATAAATATTATTCATAATAATGCTTATAGTTGAACAACGATGTGCTGTTAAAGGTCTTTCTTTAGTTGCAAATATATCTTGTGCCTCTTTAGACATTTTGGCCCAAGATACAACAAATCTCAAATACCAATCAGCAGTACTTACATATTTAATCTGAAGACAGAATTGAAACTATATATAAAATTGAGCAATTAAATATTTAAAGAACACTTTAAATTAAACATTTTATTACTTACCATGTATTACTTACAACTTTTTTTAACAACTTACTCAAATTAGTTGAGTTATTTTTCACTTTAACTGTGGGCATCGTTTGCATGCTGGATTGTGTGGCCACAATAAAATCTACAGGATTTTGAGATTGTTCTGCAAAAAACGCTATTAACACTATAAATAAAAGTATATAAATGTATATGATAATAAAAATGATATATATATATATATATAATATCTATATCACAGCTAGTTGTGATATGGATAATATCTATATCACAGCTAGTAAATATTATCTATTAAATATTACCAGCTAGTAAATATTTATATAACAGCTAGTAAAGATATTATTGATATAAATAATATCTCAGTGAGATAATATTTACATCACAGCTAGCTTAAAAACCTAGCTAGCTAGGTTCTTAAGCCATATGATATAGTATATATACTATATTATATAGCTGAATATAGTTATGATAACTTAGATATATCTAAGATATAGCTGAACAGCTATATCTTAGAAATATCTTAAATATAGCCTGAAGCTTCAGACTATATCTTCGAAGATATCAAACACGCGTTTTATATATTCAACCTTATATCCTTATATTATAAATAAAGTGCGACAAATTTCATTGAAAAATGATATTATTTTATTAATAGCATGATCCATTATTAAAACAATTACAAATAGTTCAAATTGAAATTAAGAACTAAACATTTAATAATAAAAAAATTTATTATTATGGCAACCCATACTTACTCCAAAATTTCACGGTAGAATATCGTAAAGTAGTAAAACGCATTAACGGTGCAATGCCGTGTAATTCACGGTATAGTACCGTGAATTTCACGGTAAAGTTTTACAGCGTGTAAACATTGGGAATGTAAGTATTTAATCCTATAAAATGTGTTTCTAAAATTTATTCAACTTTTTCAATATACCCCACGGTAGACTCTGGACAGACTGTCTGAAGTCTCCCCCTCCCATTGCTATAATCATATTTTGTTTGTCACATATAATAATATGTTATAATTCTAGTCATTTTATCTGTATATTATAATAAAAATTACTAAAGAAGAACCAGTTATATAATTTTGTCCAAAAAAATTATAGAAAGCCACAAAAGGTATCGAAATAAGTAATTTGAGCATTTCAAAGTGTGTTTTACATGCTATACATGGTATTAGCAGTCAATACTCTGACTGTTTCAAAAAGACTAAACATCAAATTTTTAATTTAACAACTGTTGATTTAACATCTAATTTCATTTTAAGTCAAGTTTTTTCTCTACCTTCATCAAATTAATTGCCTCCATCTTTGTTTAATTAAATGTCTTTATTTAATTAATTAAATGTTCAATTTTCTAACAAAAAAAAACTAAAAGGAGTTTAATTTTTGAATATGCAGAGAGAAATAGTGTAAAGTATCTGCCAAAATGGAAGGAATAGAAGTCTACAAGACTCAAGTGGTTCTCATCTTATATGAAACATTATCCTAACCTGTTGATAGAGAATCTCCTATGTCACTCAAATAAATAGTTTCAATAGAGTAACTTAAACAGTAATAAACTGCGCAATAAACTGTAATGTACTTCGTAAAACAATTTTGCTAGCATCCTAGTTTTAAATATACTAAATGGTATTTACAATATAAAATTACGCATTTAAAATACGTACTTTTACATTATTTTTAAGTGACACGCTGCTAAAACAAAACTGATTTTTGAGTAAATTGTCAAAAAATGTTGATAAAAATTTTATCCTCCGTCATTTGATATAACTATCTTGCAATGATTATTAACATTAAACATTAGGGTTTATCAAAAAAAAAACATCTCAATTTTTTGATCAACATCATTTGTGTTGTCAATATTGAATGATGTAATGAATCTTGTTCTTCAAACCTATTAAAAAAGAAGTAACACATAATGCGGATCTTTAAATGTTTCACTATTGCAGGTAAAATATTCGCCAGGAAACTTTTGAGAACAAGCTACGACAGAATTATTAGATTTAAACCGTAAAGAATTTTAAAATAATCATCATTATTTATTTATAAAATTGTATATCTAAGGTTTTCCAATGCTGGTTAAAATATTTTATCAATCAGCTGCCCTTGACAGCTGGTTGATAGAATACTTTACAGGAAACAGTAGCTTTTTTGTACAAGCTATTTTAGCCACGAAATTGAAATTTTTAATTCACCAAAGATGACTTAAATTGGATGCGAAATGTTTTTTTTATAAGAGAGTTATACGTTTATAAGCATAGAAGACTCAAGTTTATGTATGTTTAAAAATAAAGCGTATTATAAGCATTTTGTTGAGCGTTACTTTAAATTAGGCATGTTTATGAGCAGAATATTAAAATTTTCGTTGGCGTTTATCTGATGCATGAAAATTATTTAATGAAGTTATTGTGTTGCAAAAAAAAAATATTTATATAGAAGTATAGGTGATTTTTTATAAAAAAATCACCTATACTTCTATATACCCATAAGGCTTACGAAAATGCACACGGTTTTTATTCGAAAAAGTATAATTATGAACCACTTAAAATTTTTTAAATAAACATACCCAAGCCTGTTACAAAAACTTAACAATTATATAAAGTAAAAGCATGCATTACACTAATAATATTATTATTCACCTTACTATTCATTAATAAATGTTTAAAAAAACAAAATAATGAGAAAAATGTCCTAAGAAATTCAACAACAAGGACAACAAAACAATATTCATTTTCAAAAGATTTCATTTTTTTAACTGATTTTGTTTTTTTAGTTATTAATAGTTTCAGTGGACTTCAGAGAATGGCAGAAATGTTCTCAAGAAGGAAAAAAACAACATATTTCTGGTACACCCTTTTGCTGAGCTATACTCTAAATTATGCATGTTTTTGAGCACAAATCTATTAATACGGGAATTCTTAAAAGTGTTTACTTGATGCGTGAAAACATTTTAATGAAGTTGTTTTTTATTATTTCAAAATTAAAACATTTATGTATCAGGTTCGAAGAAAGTTTATTTGTCTTTTTTACAAGGCTTTTTACAAGAAAGCATTTTTGTAAGCTTAAGCATATTTCCGACGATACTTTTTGCCTAAACATACCCATTCAATATGCTTTTAAAAAGTCATAATAACACTATTCAACTTAGGCATCATTATTAAATTTATTAAAAACAAAATAAAAGATAAAAATAAGTTTCATTTCATATTAATTCATATTGATGTAACGGACATTTATTTTCAAAAAAATCAATTTTTTCAAATTTTACAGCTATCACTTCCTGGCTACAAAATTTATTTTTCTGTTGATTTTCAGCCTCGATATACTTCAGAAAACGGGAAAAAATTGAGAGGTATCCTGGAGAAAAATAAAGTATGTTTTTGGTACACCCTGTTAAACATTTTAAGTTTGCATTTTTTTTAATTTATCGAAAGTTGACGAGTTAGCAATAAAACTAGAATCAGTATTTAAAGCACTAAAATCTATGCTAAATTAGCTTCTTTTTTATAATTTTGGCTCTTAAATAGAGTTTTTAGCTATACTTTAAAAGCACGTTAGCTTTATGACAAATATATATCGTCAAAAGTTCCAAAGAATACATATTTTAGTAGAACAACCAATAAAAAAGGCACCTTTTTTTATTTTTTTTAAATTAATTAGTGGTGCTCTGTGATAAGACTGTAAGGACTTCTTGTAGCACCTTATCTACAACTGCAACAATAACAAAAAATAAATAATGATGGAAATAAGGGTATTTTGTATGCTTTAAAGGAGTTTAGTTTGAGTGTAATGACAAGTAGGTATAGGTAAGCCTTTAGAGATAGAGGATTAGATTTAAGTTTAATTTGATTTTTAATCAAAGTTTTATTGGTGGCACATTAGTTTAAAACCTTATTAAGCAGTTTTAAAAATTGATTGATGGATTCATTAATATTGCCATCTTTTTTAATCATAAATTCCCAGTTGATTTTTAAAATTTCTAGAATAAATTTGTTAGGGTCAAATTTTTTTAGACATCGTTTAGAAATTTTAACCTTATTTGGTTGGCTGGATGTGCCTCGAACGCAGACAAAATGTACCGTGTCTTCCGAGATAGAAATAGTGAAGTTACCCGAGAGATGATCAGAAGTGTAAAAGTTGATAAAAATGGTATCAATTAATGTTTGAGATTTAGCTGTTATACGAGTAGGTAGAATTATGGAAGGATTAAACGAGTAAGAACATAAAGTATCAAGGTAGTTGGAAATAGAATTAGATTCACTATAGCTTAGTAGATCTGCATTGAAATCACCCATTAAAAAGATCAATTTTTGTTCTTTGCTTAACTTTTTAAGAAGTGAAGTTAAAATTCTTGTATTGAATTCATTTTGATTTATAGTTGGATGACGATATATACAACCAATTATGACATTCGTTTTATGGGGCTTAATGATTTCAACAAAAACAGGCTCAAGTAATTTTGGTAAGTAAATCTTTCATTTATAACGAACTACATAATTTAAATTAGACTGCAAATATAAAAGAGCACTAGCTATTTTGGCCTTAGTGGGGCAACGCTCAATGTTGAATTATGTTTGTTATATTGGTATCAAGCTTGATTCAATAATCCCTATTGCCATAGGTATGATATTTAATGTGCTGATAAGATTGCAATGGTCATCAAAGTGATAGGGAAGTGATGCAATGTTAAGGTAAAGAAATAGATCTGAATTAGCTTTGATTGCTTTATTAAAGTCAGTAACATCATAAAATTTACAATTATAGCAGAACCAGAGGTTGTGTTAAGTTCTTTAAGTATGTTTCTTGAATAAGAGACAGGGCTATCCGGAAAGGAAGGAGGGGGGGGGGTGTAGGGGTGTCCCCCCCCCCTCTAAAGCTGTTATACAAGCATTTGAGTTGGCACATTGAGCAAGTTTTGAACTATAGTTGGCAAATTGCAAATATTGAGGAACTTTTTAGGTGTCTCTAGTTGGCAAAAAAATACATACCACCCTCCTCCTTGATAGACCTCTTCGGGACGGCCCTGGTTGGAGATACAAGAAAATTTGATGAAACAGTTTGTAGATTCTTGCATGATAATGTTGTTAATAGCTCATTCTCAGTAAGCAAACCAAATGGCATGTTTTTAGATAAACACCAAAAATACCAATTTTTAGATAAACACCATTAATAGTTTTTAGATAAATATCATAGATAAATGGCATGTTTTTAGATAAACACCATAATATTCTAAATTTTCTTAGCTTCTTTTAGATTACTAGTTAATTCATTTCAATACATATAATTTTTAGTTATTACTATTTAACATTACTTTGAAAGTCATTATATTTGTACGCACCTATAAATGATAAGGCTTTCGTAAAAATACTATTTTTACGCAAAAAATTTAAATTTTATAATATTTTTATATAGTCACAGTGTAATTACATACTTCGACTGACTTGAGTTGGTATAGAAAACGTAGAGTATACATGTATTATTTTTTACACTTCTATAATTCCATATAAAATTGTAGAAATTAACTCTGGCTGAAGGAACAAATAATCTCCAAAGATGTTTAATTTTTATAAAAATATAATGCAAATAATTTCATTAGTGTAGTGTCGTGGATATCACTATCCATTTTATAAAAACTTTATCACAGCTGATAAAACCGTAAACGCAATGGAGTCATTAATTTACTAAAATTTAAGTAAATTAAAAAGTCAATATCAATTTAAGTTAAATTGGAACAGCAGCAGTTAAGTGTACATACAACAACTGAGAGTTTATGTTTAGCTAGGAACTCTATTAACTAAA